AGATACTTTGTGACTCTATTGTTTTTCTAAAACTGTTGCAGGTTTTTCGTTACCCCTTTTCACGGCTCTGAGGCCTGGGGTCCACTTAGAATTGCTGGTCGGGTATGATTTACGAGTATTATATACTCAGATTTCGATCTTTTTTTTTTTAATGTTTATTTATTTTTGAGAGACAGAGTGTGAGTGGGAGAGAAGCAGAGAGAGAGGAGACACGGAGTCCAAAGCAGGCTCCAGGCTCTGAGCTGTCAGCACAGAGCCCGACGCGGGGCTCAAACCCAGGAACTGTGAGATCATGGCCTGAACCGAAGTCGGAGGCTTCACCGACTGAGCCCCCAGGCGCCCCCCGGAGGTTTCCATCTTGATCCGATCTTGTTGCCACTGTTGAGGGAGAGACAGGGAGGTGACGAGAGCAGGAACACGGGGCGGAGTGGGGGTGGAGGGAAGTGGTGTGGCCGGAATCCCATTTTGGGGAGGATCCAGTGGGCTGCGGGCCGCTGCGACGTTGGGGGGTGGGGGCGGGGAGAACAGTGTCCAGAGGACACTGGGGCTCCTGGCTGGGTAGCTGTGGGATGGGGGGGGGCCACGCTGGCTGCCACCCTCTTGAGCTTCCCTGAAAACAGCTGGAGATGGGGGCTCTGGGCCTGACATGTCAGCGAGAGAAGGGCCTCGAACCACGCCTGCCTCAGTGGCCCCAGGGAAGGCAGGTTGGTAAGGAGCAGGCAGAGGGGCGGTGACGGCCCTGAAGCCGCAGGCACAGGCGTCACAGAGCAAGGATGGGCCCCTGTGGCGTTCACACTCTTGCCCCCTCACAGCAGCTGGGGGGGGGGGGGCGGCGCTCTCCAAATCCATCTCATGCACGGAGAGAGTGAGGCCCTGGGAGCGGACAGGACTGGCTGTGTGTTAAGTAGCCAGGCCACCATCTGCCCCCGAGTGTGTGTGGCTCAGAAGTCCCCGAGGAAGGCTCTTGGACCTTGTTGGCTGGAAATCAGCCACCTATAACCCAGGGAACCTTGGCAAGACATAACACCTCTCCTCCCTCAATTTACCCATCTGTAACATGTAACCAAGCCCGGTGTTGAGTCACCACTAAATTAGTGCCTGTTAAATAAAAGTGAATAGGACTTTTGAAAACGATGCTCGCCCTCATTCAGGGCCAGGAAAATTAAGGCCACGGTGAAAAATAAGTGCGTATCACCAGATATGCAGATCTCAGTGACAGTAGCAAGTGTGGGGGAGGCTGGGGGGCCCCCCAGGACCCACCCGCACCGCTGCTAGGAGCGCAAACGGAAGGGGGGGTTCCCTTGGGAAAATTGCCTTTCTGTCATCTACCAAACTAAAAATACACCCACTGGGTGACCCTTCGGCCTGGAGTCTTAGTGTGCCCCCAACCCTGCACAAGACGCAGGTCACAGCTGGACGCACAGAGGGCGACCCCGTCCTGTCCCTCAGCAGGAGGGGAGGCGGCGCAGGGCACAGTGGTCACACCCGCTGGCCGCGCGGCCACCGCAGGAGGGTCGCTTTTCTGACGTGTCCCCAGGACAGGCTCCGCAAAGCCGCGGGGCACCTGGGCACGCGCGTCAAGGGTCGAACCCCAAGGCACAGGAAGGAAAGATTAACCCAGGAGCTCGGATGGGGCCTGGGGGCGGGGGGGAGGTCGAGATGGGAGGGCCCTTGGCCGGGCTTCGGCTCCTTGCCGCGTTCTCTTTCTCAGCCAAGCCGCGCAAGGGGGGGATCTGCCCGCGGGGACGACGCCCGGGTCACACCAGCAAAGGAGGCCGTCCTGCTCTCGGGCCAAGCCCCCCCCCCCCCCCCCCCCCCCCGCCGTCAGGCTCCCGGGTCCTGCGCTCCGGCCGCCGCGCCTCCCCTCGGCCTGGTGCCCGGTGGGGGGCAGCCTTTCCCGGGCCCCCGCCCTTCGGGGCCCTCGGGACGCCCGCACCCCGCGCTGTGCGAGCACCGTCCCTGGCGGTCGCGCCCCGCACCGCCCTGCGCTCCCGGCCGCGTCCGGGGGACGGGGGTCCGCGCCCCGCCGCGCCCCCGCCTCGGGGCCTCCGCCCGGCCCGGAGCTCCGGCGTCACACCCACGGCCGCGCAGGTCCCGCGGCAGGGCGCGCCCCCTACTCGGGCCTCAGTTTACCCTATGTGAATGTGAATGTCCTGGGCCCGGCCCACGGAGCGCGGGCCCATCCCTGGGCGCGCGGGCTCAGAACCAGGACCGGCACTTGGGGCTCCGGGGTGGGGGGACGCTCCGCCGCGGACCCGGAGCCGAGCCATTAAGGCGGACCACTGCATCGCCCTTTGAAGGCGCCAGGTGGGCCCGGGCGGGCGCGCGGCGCGGGGAAGAGCGCCCTCTGGAGGCTGCCGGCGGCCCCGCCCCCGTGCGCCCGCCCCGCCCCCACAGGCCCCGCCCCCCGGCCTCGGGCAGCGCATGCGCGCGGCGCGGCGCTCCGCGGGCGGCGAGAGCGAGGCCGGTCCGCAGCCGCGCGGCGCTCGGCGCCCCATTCATGCTGGGCAGCGGCGGCGCGGCCACGCAGCGGAGCCCGGGCGCGGCGGCGGCCTCGGCCTGGGCGGCCTGCGCGGCTTCGGCGGCCCCGCGGCGGGGCGGGCGGCGGCGGCGGCGGCGCGGGCGGCGGGGCGCGGCGATGGCCGGCGGCGGGGCGCGCCCCGGGGCAGCCCGTGAGTAGGCGCGCAACTTTCCCCGCGGCGCGGAGCGTGGCCGGGCGGGGGGTCCCGGGCGGGGGGCGCGCGGGGGTGGGAGGCGCCCTCGGGCGGCAGCCGAGCGGCCTCGGGCCGGGGCGCGGGGCTTGCGGCCGCGCGGGCAGGGGGTGTGCGCGGAGGACTGCGGCGCGCGTGTCCGCGGGTCCGCGTGTCCCTGCGGCTCCGGCCCGGCGCCCGCGTGTGTCCGGGCGCGGCCGTGGCGCCGGCGCTGAGCCCGTCCTGCGCCCGCCCGGCCGGGATCGGACCGCGGCCCCAGGCCCCGCGCCGCCGGCCTCTCCCCGTCCGGCCCGGCCCGGCCCGGCCCGGCCCGCCGAGCTCCGCGGGGCAGCGCTCCGGGCGGCGCGGCGGGGGCGGGGGCGGGGGCCGGTGCTGCCCCCTCCTCAAAGGCAGGAGAGAAAGTTTGCGGCGGCCCCGGCGGGAGGGCCCGGCGGGGGCCCAGGCCGAACCCGGGGCTGGACCGCGGACTCCGACCCGCGGCCGCCGGCGGGGCCGGGCCGGGCTGGGCAGGCCCGGGCCGGGCTGCGCCGCGGCTTAGGCAGGGCCGCGGGCGCCGGGGGAGGTCTTGCGGGGCTCCGTCCTCTGTTGGCCCTCAGGGCGCTGGGGTGGAAGTTGGAGCCGCTTCTTCGGGACCGACGCCCGCCCCCGCCCCCTCTGGCCCGAGGCGCCGGGAGACGGGCGCTGTGTCCGCCCCTGGCCCGCAGGGCCGCCCGCCCGGGCTGGGAGGGGGCGGTGCGGGTGCCGCCCGGGAGGCCGCCCGGCTCGCCCGCTCGGGCCTCCTCAGCCTCCCCCTTCCAAGGCCTCTCCAGGGTCAGCCTGCTTTCCTCGGAGGCTTCCGATTGCTTCCTGGACAGTCCCGGGCCTGGTGTGCGGCGTAGCGGGGGGCGGCGGCGGGGCCGATTCGGGGCCGCCCTGGGAAGGGCAGCGGGGCTCCACGGAGGCCCGTGCCTGCAGTGAGATCCCAGGTGCAGCCCGAGAAAGGGGGGCGGTCGGGGCCCCAGTGGCTGCTTATAGCGGAGAACTGCCCCTGACTCATCTGTGGGGTGCTGGGGCCACGCCCCTTGAAAGAAAGGGGTGTGTGTATTGGGGGGGATGTGGACCGGGCCTCTGCCCCCCAAGCCGGGGCTTCCGCGGCTTACTTCTGCTCCACCTCTTTCCCTGCTGAGGCGGTTCTCTGGGTGGGGGGGGGGTATGTTGGGGGGTGGGGCTCCGTCTCTGCTCTCCTGGCCCTTGGGGAGCGGGCCCTGGGTCTCCCCGGCCCCCTGCTGGGTTGGGGGGTGTGGGAGAGACCAGGTGCTGCAGCAGGCAGCCAAGACTCTCCCCAGTCCTTGAGGGGCACCTAGTCCCGTGCCAGAGGCAGACGGCGATTCCCCTCCGGAGCCAGGCTGCACCCGAGCCCGGGAGGGTGGCACCAGGAGGCCCGGGAAGGGCGTTTCAGCACGGGGGACTGGTTAGGCGGAGGTCTGGCGGGCTCCGGGCGGCCGCGGTGTGTGTTGGGGGGAGGGGGGACAAGTGCGATGCCGTGGACACAAAGCAGGCAGCCTGTTTGCCGGGCTCCCGATCCCCCAGGAAGGTCCCCGTGTCCGCAGCAGCTGGCCAGGAGGGAGGGCACCCCCAGGGAGGGGCTGGGTGGTGGGCACGTTTTGTAAGCAGGACTCCCGGACCCACAGGACTTGTCTGGTGGGAGAGCAGGACGGCTTGGGGACCCCCGCCCCCAGGGCCTCTGCTGGGGAAGGTGGTGACGGGACAGCCCTCTGGGCGGGATGGCGGCGGCCTCCCCACGCCCCCAGGCCCCAACCTGCCCGAGTCCCAGAAAGCTCCAGAGCCGGAGGGCATGGAGATCAGGCTCTCCCTCTGTGAAGAGGGCTCTGAAGGCCTTTGTTTCCCAGGGTCAGAAGGAGCGGTGGTGGCCGCCGGGCCCTGGAGAGGGAAGGGGCTTGTGGCTCCCTCCACGCTCTGCCGGAGCCCGCCGTGCTGTGTTCCCGTCCGCCGCTGCCCTGACTCTCCCTAGTGGGCACACCCCACCCCAGCTCAGCTTCCCCCTTCCCAGGGTGGTCCAGACTGGGCCCCCGGCACAGCCCGCTGTGCTTGCAGGAAGCTGCAGCCGTTCTCACGCCCCCCGCTGCGTGACGGGGCAGGTCCTGGCCGGACCCCTGCTGCTCTGCCCCCGAGGCGCCCCCTCCCACCAGCTCGCGGGGTGCCTTGCTCTCTTAGAACAGGTGGAGGGGCCCCCGGAGGAGCCTCCCAGACCACGGAGGCCGGTTCTGCTCCCCTCCCGGAGGCCCTCTGGGCATCTGTCGGTGCTCCTTGCCCCCAGCCCAGCGCGGTCCTCCCCGGCACCCAGGCCCCGCTTTGGAGCGATGGCCTCCTTCCCTGGGCAGACGCCCTGGCTGGCCGTCCAGGCTTCTGTGGGAGCGTGGGATTGCAGCCCGTCTGCCAGGTGACCTTGGGTCTGTCCAAGCCCTGGACGCCATAACTCTGAGACAGGGCCAGTGACCTAAATGTCTTCACTGGCCTCGTGAGATGGTGGCTGTGAGGGACCCAGCCCTGGGCTGGGGGCCCCCCTTTCCTGCCTGGCAGTCCCCACCCTCCCTGGCCAGTCCCTTCCAGCAGCCCCTGGGGGGGGGGGGCGGGGGGGGGGCGGAGAGTGGGCCCGGGGCCGGTCTGGAGTTTGGATGGTGGCTTCTTCAGCCGGGTTTCTCCTGTTTAATATAAAAAGTAGGGCCCGTAATTGCATTAAGACGTGTATAATTATCCCGGAGGAGGGGAGAGCCCAGCCCCTGGTAATTGCAGGCCTGCTTTGAACTGATAAACGGTGAGTGATTCATGTTTTCTTTGGAGTTCACATGCACTCAGCTCTCGGCCCAGGCCCCGCTGCCACCGTGAGGAGCCTGCTCCCCGCTCCTGTGCTGCTGGGGCTCCTGGGCTGGGGACGGGGCAGGGGCGGGGGACCCCGCTCCTGGCTGCCCGCGCAGGTGCCCCTGTAGCTCTCGGGGTGATGTCTGAGGGAAGATCCTCAGGGAAAGGCAGGTGACAGCAAGCCTGGTCCTCTGGCCGTGGGATCCTGGCTTCACCTCCTCACTTCCCTGAGCCTCAGTTTCCCCAGCCGTGCGGTGGGGCTGGGCGTCCACTCGGCCGCGGACAAGGCCCTGCCCAGGACCTGTTCGTTGACTCTTTCATTCCCAAGTCCTGGGCCCCGGCCTCGGCTCCGGGCACGCGGGGGCCCGGCTCTGTCGCGTGGAACGGCCGTTCTTGCAGGGAGAGCGCAAGTTTGGGAACAATAAGTCACAAAAGCATCAGCGAGTCCTGTGCCGCGAATGAAAACGGGGTAACCGGCTGAGAGGGAGAGGCAGCCGCCGCCTTCGGCTGGCGGGTCAGGGCAGACAGCTGAGACCGGGCAGGGGAGGGAAGGGCATGCCAGTGGAGGGGACAGCAAGTCCAAAGCCCGGCTGAGGGCAGAGGAGCCCCGCTACAGGGGCAGCCGTGGGAGCCCGGGACCCGCGCGCCCTGTCTGGCAGCCTGCTGCCCTGTGGCTGCCTCCCAAGTCTGCACAGGACATGTATCTTTTGGGCCTCAGCTTCCCCGCCTGTAAAATGGGCTGCCGGTCTCTATGAGCCGGGGCAGGGCCCCTCCTAACACCAAGAGGGCTCCCCTGCTGACGGCACCTTGTGGGCATGCCCCGACCGCCCCCCTTATGTCCATGAGAGAGGAGCTGTTGCCAGTTTCATTTTATAGACGACGGAAACCAGGGCCGGGAAAGAGGAGTGACTCCAGTCAGGGCCACCTGGTGACGGAGCCTCAGTGTAGCCGTGCGTCTGCCTGCCGGTTGCTGGGCCGGGAGGAGATGAGACTTTTCTAGAGAGAGCAGGGGTGCTTGGTAGAATTTGGGGCCGGTGACCTGATGTGCCCTGCGGAAACGTGGCCCAGGCTACTGGGTGGGGCCTGGCTGTGCCTGTCCCGGTGGGAGAGGGGTGGGCAGTTGGGGGAAGACGCAAGGGATGAAGCTGATGGACCTTAGAGCGTGTGGCCTGGGAAGTGTAAGTTGGGGTGCCCGAAGCCTGGGGGGGTGGAGGGAGTTGGGAACCTGAGCTGATGGAAGGGAGGAGCCCCTGGCAGGTGGACGACAGCCTCTGGGCTGCTCAGATGGGGAGATGGGACCACGGCTGGGGGGGCGGGGCGCCTCCCCTTTCCTCTTGGGAGGGCTTCCTGGAGAAGGTGCTGAGACAGAGCCTGGCAAGGGCACGGCTGGGCTGACGGCACGGGGCAGGGGGGGGGGGTGGGCACCAGGCGGCCGGGCTGGGGGGATGGTGGGGGGAACGTATAGCCCTCCACTTCTGGGTCCTTTCTTGGCGTGCAAGGCTCACGGTCCAGCATGGGGCTGGCCAGGCTCAACCAGCAAGGGGCCCCAGGGCCAAGGTGGCCCAGACCGCCTCCCTCCCTCCCTCCCCGAGAACTGCCTCCTGTGCAGTGATGGGCCTGAGTATCTGTCTGCCTCGGGGTGGTGCCTGCTCGTGGGAGCCTCCACGGCCACAAGGAGCACGTACCCCCAGAGCCTCGGGGGTGGTCACCCCGCCTCGGAGCTTGGAGCCGGTGGCGGGGGGAGGGGCTGCTCCCTAGGACGCGGGGAAGCTCCGAGTCAGGAGGCGATGGCTCCCAGGCTGGACCCTGGACCCTCATCACTATCTCTCCTCTGTCTGGTCGTCTTGTGCTGCTCCTGGTGCTCGCGGGCTTGGTCTCGGGGCCCCCCTGGGGTACCTCTCCGTGCCTGTAGGGCGTCTCCTTGTGGGTGGGGTCATGCCCCCTAGAGGCAGAGCGGGGGATGTCCCTGCATGGGCCGGGCACGCACAGCTCACGGGATGCCCACGTGCACTGGGGCGCGGACGTGTGCGTCCGGGCCGTGCCCACACCCGCGACCCTCTCCCGCTTGTTCTTCGCAGGCCTGAGGCTCCCGGCCCCGTGATTCCTGCGTCTGCAGGACCCAAGCGCCCCGGCCCGAGGCCCCGGCCCGCCATGTCACTGCCGCGAGTGAGCCTGCGGGTCCTCCCGCCGCTGCCACCGCCGCTGCCCCTGCTGCTGCTGCTGCTGCTGCTGGGGGGCGCGCGGGCCGCAGCGGGGGCCCCCAGGGCTGGCGGGGGGCCGCAGCCCGCCTTCCGCACCTTCTCGGCCAGCGACTGGGGCCTCACGCACCTGGTGGTCCACGAGCAGACTGGCGAGGTGTACGTGGGCGCTGTGAACCGCATCTACAAGCTCTCGGGGAACCTGACGCTGCTGCGGGCGCACGTGACGGGGCCCGTGGAGGACAACGAGAAGTGCTACCCGCCCCCCAGCGTGCAGTCGTGCCCGCACGGCCTGGGCAGCACCGACAACGTCAACAAGCTGCTGCTGCTGGACTACGCGGCCAACCGCCTGCTGGCCTGCGGCAGCGCCTCCCAGGGCATCTGCCAGTTCCTGCGCCTGGACGACCTCTTCAAGCTGGGCGAGCCGCACCACCGCAAGGAGCACTACCTGTCCAGCGTGCGCGAGGCGGGCAGCATGGCCGGCGTGCTGATCGCCGGGCCGCCGGGCCAGGGCCAGGCCAAGCTCTTCGTGGGCACGCCCATCGACGGCAAGTCCGAGTACTTCCCCACGCTGTCCAGCCGCCGCCTCATGGCCAATGAGGAGGACGCCGACATGTTCGGCTTCGTGTACCAGGATGAGTTCGTGTCGTCGCAGCTCAAGATCCCCTCGGACACGCTGTCCAAGTTCCCGGCCTTCGACATCTACTACGTGTACAGCTTCCGCAGCGAGCAGTTCGTCTACTACCTCACCCTGCAGCTGGACACGCAGCTCACGTCGCCCGACGCCGCCGGCGAGCACTTCTTCACCTCCAAGATCGTGCGCCTGTGCGTGGACGACCCCAAGTTCTACTCGTACGTCGAGTTCCCCATCGGCTGCGAGCAGGCGGGCGTCGAGTACCGGCTGGTGCAGGACGCCTACCTGAGCCGGCCCGGCCGCGCCCTGGCCCGCCAGCTGGGCCTGGCCGAGCACGAGGACGTGCTGTTCACCGTGTTCGCGCAGGGCCAGAAGAACCGCGTGAAGCCGCCCAAGGAGTCCGTGCTGTGCCTGTTCACGCTCAGGGCCATCAAGGAGAGGATCAAGGAGCGCATCCAGTCCTGCTACCGCGGCGAGGGCAAGCTCTCGCTGCCCTGGCTGCTCAACAAGGAGCTGGGCTGCATCAACTCGGTGAGTAGGCATCATGGGGGGGCCGCGCCGGGCCCCCTGTGAGGGGCGGGGAGCTCCCGGGCCCGGCCGGCCGCCACCTCGCTTCCGTGGAGACGGGGCGGCGGGCCCCCGGCTGCCACTCCGGGAGCCCCCGCAGGTGGCGGGCAGAGGACTGACCGCGTGCCTCGCGCTGTGCCGTGTGCATACTGCGCCGGTGCACCTCCGTTTTACAGCTGAGGTCGCCGAGGCTCGGCGAGGTCGGTAGCTTGCCCAGGGCCACAGCGCCGGGCAGACGCGGTGCTGGCTGGGGCCGCCCGGGGGTAGTGCGGGTCCCAAACCCGTCTCCCCCCACCCCCGCCCCCGCTTTTCTTCCCTCTGTCGGGGGGCCCTGCTCGCCCTTTCTCTGGGGTGTGTGCCGCTCTCGGCCCCTGGCCTCACCTGGCAGCGGCGTTGATGGCACCGGGCCTGACCCTAGGGGCCTGAGGGTCTGGGTGCGGGGTGCTCGGGGGTCAGCAGCCACAGCTCTCGTTTCTAGGCCCAGGTGGGCCAGCCTGGGGCCGGCTGCTCGATGGGGAGCCTCATGTGCATCCCCGAGGCAGCAGGAAGCGTTCAGGAGCGCCTTGGGGTGACCTCCCCGGGGGTGGCCGTCTGCTCTGGGTCCCTGGGCGGCCCCGGGAAGGCCTGGCACATCTGGCCTCGGTTGTCTCCCATCTCTGTACCCGGAATGATGCTGGTTTGTTTTCAGGGCAGGATGGGAGGGCAAGGGTCCCCGCTCCGCTGTCTGTCATGTCGGCCCCAGGGGGCGTGTGTCAGGGCAGGGCCATCCTCCACAGTGAGGCCCCCGTGTGCCAGGCTGATGTGTTGGCCACCCTCCCCGGGCATTTCAGGGAAGGTGTCCGACCTCTGTTACGCGTCTGGAGAAACCGAGGCCTGGAGGAGCAGCTCCTGTAGAGGTCATGCTCCGTGCCCTTCATGCCCCGTCCCCTTGGCTGGGTCTGCCCCCTGCCCCCCTGCCTGACAGCCCCCCTGGCCAGGTCTCTGCTCCTCACACACTTGGGGACCCTCAGCCCAGCTCCAACTCAGCATCCGCTACTCCATGTGCGTTAGTGACCCCTTCCCTGCAAACCTGCTTCAGGCGAGCAAGCCGCCTCCTGCCCCCAGAGCCCCCCCCAAGCCCTTTCCATCTTCTCTGGAACCTCAGGAATTGATCGCATCCCTTCCCTTCAGTAACTGTTTCATAGCCAATCTCTGCATTTGCCTTTTGGGGGTGTCCCCTGTGCCCTGGAGTAAGCCCTGCCTGGACCCCACAGCCCCCTGGGCCACGGGGAAGCCGCTCTCCCTCCCTGGTCTCCAGGCCGCTTCCTGCCTACCCCTCAGGTTGGCCGGGGGCCTGCGTGCGCCGCCGGGTGGGAGACGGGCCCGCCTGGGCGTGTGCGCCAGGCCTCTGGCTTCTTTGCAAGCTTGTGAGCCTTCGCTTCTCTGTTGGTCGAACGGGTCCCAGAATCCTTGGGCTCCCACATCTGTGCAGCCCGGCTCCAGCCTGCCCCTCTGAGGACCCTCCGTGAGCCCCTGCCTCCTCATACCCCCCATGAGTGGGGGCGCCAGCCAGCCTCCGGGGCAACGCCCGCCACCCTCGGGCAGAAGACACTGGACACCTGAGACTGGCGGCGGGGGCCCCGGGCCTCACCCTCTCCCTTCCCACAGCCCCTGCAGATCGACGACGATTTCTGTGGGCAGGACTTCAACCAGCCTCTGGGGGGCACGGTCACCATTGAGGGCATGCCCCTGTTCGTGGACAAGGACGATGGCCTGACCGCCGTGGCCGCCTACGACTACCGGGGCCGCACCGTGGTGTTCGCCGGCACGCGCAGCGGCCGCATCCGCAAGGTCAGGGCCCGCAACTGGCGTGCTGTGGTGGGCGGGGCCCTGGGGGTGTGGGACAGCCTGGATCCGATGCGGGGCCTGGTCACCGCGGGGTGCGCAGTGGGCCCCAGCGCCCCCGTGCCGCCGCCTCCATGCCCCGCGTTTGGGGCTGCTCCGGCGTCAGGCAGGTGCAAAGGTCTGGCTGGGCATCGGGGGCTCTGGGGGCGGGTCACGGCGTGCGAAGGGGCTGGCCTGGCCACCCCCCCCCCCAGGACATGGAGGTGCCGGCCCTGCTGTCTGAGGGCGCACGGTGACCTCCTGGGAAGGCCGTGGAGGTGGGGGCAGGGCATGCCCGCACGGCCCCCTCCCCTCCGGGGATCCGGTGTCTGCTGAGGCAGCGCTCTGGAGCTGGTGGGAGGCCCCCGCCCTGCGCAGAGCAGCAAGGCCAAGGGCAGGGCAAGGGTGGCACCCCTCTGCCCCTGCCTGCCGCTGGTGGGTGCAGGGGGGCTCTAGTGGCCCCAGAGCGATGAGGGCCCCTCAGGGTGAGGGCTGGGGTGCTGTGGGGCGGGGCCTTCCCGGTGCCTGCATCCCTTCCCTCGCCAGCAAGCACTGGGCTGCGGGGGGGGGGGCGGGGGGCGGCGAGAGCAGCTGCCTGCGGGGCAGTCCCACCTTGGTGGGTGAGTGGGACCAGACCAGGGTAGGGCCAGCCTGCTGGGCTGGAGGTGTCTGGGCTGGGGGGCCCGTAGGGTGGGGGTGTCTGGGAGCCCCAGAGTCGGTCCAGGGGCGGGGCCCGGGAGATGAAATAACAGCTGTCCCCGGGCCTGCTGCTGACACAGCTCCCCGCCCGCCGTGTACCCGTGGGTGAGGGCCGGGCCTGAGGCCAACAAGGGCCTCGCCTGCTCCCAGCTTCTGTGCGGGAGGGGGTCTCCCCGTCTGGGCCATGCTGGGTGCCCTGGGAATCACGTCCCGCCGCTCGCTGGCCCTGTGATCCCTGTGAAGGCATCCCCTCCCCGCCCCACCACTACGCACCTCAGCTTTTCCCATCTGTGAAATGAACCCAGGCGTGTGGGCTCTTGGCTGGGGTGGTCCTGAGGCAGTGGGAGCCCAGATGTGGGCTGCCGGTCGTCCCCGGAGGGGCGCCCTGGGGTGCTGCGGGGCTCAGGCCCCATGCGAGCCAGTGAGGCTGGGTGGCAGGTCAGCTCAGCCCCCGCTGGTCTCTGGGGGAGCCCCCGTGCCCTTAGAGCTGGTCCCCTGGTGTGGTCCACCTTCCTTCCCCGAGTGCAGGGGTGGCGTCTGCAGCCTGGGCATCGACTCTTCCCTTCCTATCAGTGGGCCACCCCCCCAGCATGCAGCCCCTCTTCCCAGCCCAGGGAGGGTATGTGGGGCCGGGGGGTGGGGGGGTGCAAGGGAGCCCCTGGGGCGTGTGTGTCGGGTGGGGGGGTTGTGGGGGGAGCAGCGGAGCCCGTGGGGCGTGTGTCGGGTGGGGGGGCGGTGGGGGGGGGCAGCGGAGCCCCTGGGGCGTGTGTGTCGGGTGGGTTGTTCTCGGCATGTCCAGTGTGGCTGCGGTGAGGACCGCCCCCTGCCTGCCCCCCACCCCCGTCCCCCGGGGAGGCCAGCCCCGCACCCCCCAAGCAGGAGTGAAGCCTGCTTGGAGACACTCCCGCCGGGCGCCCCAGAACCTATACCCAGCGGGAGGCTGGGCTCCTGGGGCCCATTTGATGGCGGGTGGGCTGGCAGGCAGCTGGCTAAGGCACCGTCTGTGCCCACAGGCCGCCCTGTGAGCTTGGAGAACGGGTTAGTCCGGCCCCCGTCCTGCTGCCTCCCTGGCTCCAGCCGCGCTCACCTGCCCCAGGGCCGGGTGGGAGCCCCGTGAGTCTCACGGTCCTTGCTCCTCTCTTCCCTGGCCCCACAGAGGGGAAACTGAGGCCCAGTGTGTCTGGCGGGCGCTGGGCTCAGGCCCCTTCATCGGCAAGCCTCTGCTTTCCTCTCCCTCACCCGCCCCTGCACCTGCCTCCCAGAGCCCCGTCCTTCCTGGGCATCGGCCCCTCCCACCCCGGACCCGTCGGGGCTGGGTGTGCACTGCGGGTGCGTGGACTGCACCTTCCTGGGGTAGGTGGGGTTAGCGGTGCCCAGGGGCTGCCGGCCTGGCGGCAGGGGCGCCCCGTCGTCGGGGAATTAGAGCCTTGTTAGTCGTGAGGCTCTCCCGGGGAGGCCCGGCCCAGCCTCGCCCTGCACGCTGCTCGCCTGCACCACCTGCCCGAGGAGAAGGGGGTCTCGGGAAGCTTGTCGCGTGGCTGTTCGTGTTCCACGGCCAGTTGCTCGCGGCCTTGTCCATCCAAGCGGCTGAGTTCAGTTGTGGATGCGTCTCCCCCTCGCGGGCTCTGTGACCCTGGAGCTGGCTGGCCGGCCTCTGGGCCTGTCCCCCAAGTGTGGCGTGACGAGGCCCAGAGCCTGCTGCGCGTGTGGTCCCGTCGGGCGGGTGGCTGACCCTCGTTCCTGGTGTCGCCTCTCGGAGTCCTCGAAATAGCGGTGCCGCCCTGGGACAGATGGGGAAACTGAGGCACGTGGTGGCAGCAGCAGGTGCCCAGGCTTACTGGCTCCAGGGTGAGTCCTGTGGGTCCTCGGAGGAAAGGAAACGGGGACCCGATTTCACTGTCCCTCTCTGAGGAAGCCCGGGGTCCAGGGCAGTCCCTCCTCCGGGAGCCCCTCCCTGCCCCCTCCTGCCCTGCCCTGCCAGCCTTCAGGGGTCTTTCTTCCCCCAGCCCCCAGCCCAGCACCCCCGCCAGTGGCCGCGGGGCCCTGCCTTCCCCAGGAGCAGCTCTGGCTGCCCTGCTCTCTCTGCCTCCCCGCCGCCTAGGGCCCATGGCGCCCGTGGACCCTGCGCCACCCTGGGGCACCACTGCAGGTGGGGGTCCGGAGCAGGTGGGGCCGGGGGAAGGGGTTCCAGCCCCGTTCTGTGCCCCGGCCCCGTAACCGCCCCCCGGCCTCCAGCCTTGACCCGTCGCGAAGGGACACCTGGCCCCTGCCCCCTCGGGCCTCTCCTTGGCCGGGGCCCGGCCTGTGGCAGCAGTTTCCTCTCCCACCTCGTCCCCACCCTCCCCGCCATGTCGTCCTGGCCCCGCCGCGGGGGTGGGAGCGGCTCTGGCCCCGCCAGGGGTGCCCTCTGGCCCCGCCCAGCGCCGCGCCTCCTCCCCGCCTCCTGCCTTGCATCCTGGTCACATGCTGGAGCCTGGGCCCTGGGGACCCCTGCCCACTGCCGCCCTGGGGGCAGCCCTGCTGTACTGACGAAGCCCGAAGCCCGAGGAGCCCTCCCCTCCCCGGGCCTGGGTCTGCTCGGGCTTTAACAAGTAACTGGCGCGCCGGGGACGCAGCTGGGCCCCTGCCAGGCCCCACCGAAGGAGAGCCGGCGAGCGTGGTGTGAAGTTGCGGCTGATTAATTTGGGACTTGCCAGCTTCAGCTGTTCAGGGCCGGCTGGGGGTGCTCCCCGACGCCCCGGTCTTCCCCAGAGACTCTGCCCGCCGCCCGCCTCCCTCCCCGTCCACAGAGGCAGCCTGTCCTCCCGGCTGACACCCCGGACCCCCAGCCACGCGTGTGTCTTCCCCCCACTGCCCCGAATGGCCGCCAGGGGCCCCGGAGCCTGGCAGGAGTTCCCCAGGGGGGCCCGGGCTTGAGTTCTTTTGAGTCCGTCCAGGCACTCGGTGGGCAGAGGGCCCGCCCCGGGCTCCTGCTGGAGGGTGCCCACGCCGCCCCAGCCTCGTCTGGAGGCCTTCTCACACTCTTCCTGTCCGCACAGCAGACGTGGGGATGGGCCTTGGCTTCTGGGCCGGGTGAGGGGCGCCCAGCCCTGCACGGGGACTCCCCGGCTGCGGGGCTCGGGGCCTGGGCTGAGGAACGTGGCCCGCCGCTCTGCCCCAGCACCCAGTTTGTCAGGAGAATCTGGAAGTCTCTATTTTGTGGGGGGTTTCTTATTGTGAAGCATGGGCAACAAACGACAGGCCACCAGTTTATGACCGTGGGGACCCGGGCTGTGGCATCGCTGGCTTGCAGGGTGCCGGGCCTTGGGGTGGGACCCGAGGGACAGCCGCCCCGCTGGGCTCCAGGGCCGGCCTGGGCCCTTCTGGAGTCTGGCTGGCCTGCCCTGGTGAGGCTCCCTCCTCCGGGGCCTTGCTTCTTACCCTCAGCGCTGGGGGGGCTGTGCCTGCCGGCTTTGGGGAGCCCCGGGGAGGCTGGCCTGTTTTCCTGCGTGCTGATCCTTGAGTGTGGGAGACACGTGGCTGTGGCCGTGGCGCTCTGGACACCCACCCCGCCGTCACAACTGTGCTTTGTCGCTGGGCCCGTGCTGTGTGTTGCTCTGGGCCTGGGTTGCCAGTGACGGGGGTGCCTCTTAGCCTCCAGTGGCCTCACGGCTCCAGAAGCTTCCCTCCGGGTGCTTTTCCCACTCCCCCAGGACGCCCACGCTCCCTAGGATGCTGCGCAGAGCGGCGCTGGCCTCCTCTTAGGGTCCCTGCCGGGGGGGGGCCCCCCTGTCCTGGGCCGGAGCCTGCGCGGTGCACCCAGCAGGGGGCCCTGCTACCCCAGCCCGCGGCTGTGCCCGAGGTGGACTGGGGAGCCCCTGGGGAGCTGAGGGAAAGCTGTTGGCCCCAAGAGAGATCCTGGGCAGGATGGGGCCCCTGTCCCCCAACTCCCGTGGCCCCGTGGATGTGGATCCTGTGTGTCGGGCACGCCATTGATTCCCCGTGACCTGACCTCTAGATGCCCGCAAGGGCTCCCAGGAGGCCACCTGCACGGCTGGGGACTGTCTGTCCGCAGACGCCCTCATCCCACTGGGACGGGAGCCCTGCATGGGGTGGGGGGCAGGGAGGTCTCCGCCTCCTGCGTGTGGCCGGGCGTGACTGACATCCCCTCTCAGTTGTGATGCATCCGCGGGAAGCTCGCAGCCGTGGATGTGCGGCCCGGGGCCGTGTCACAGGAAGCACAGCAGACCTCCGTCCCCTGGAGGGTCCCCCCATCCCCCCCATCCCCC